AATAAGAAAACATGATCATTAATGTCAATAAAGTAAAACTGCTTTGTGTGCAACATTCTAAGGGAGCAGCTATACAAGCAAAGCAGCTAATGCTACAACACCATAAAATAAAGTTATGGAAAAATGTAAAGTGCATTAGTTTAATTTCATATTATACAATATAAGTAATACGTATTCTTAGTATCAGACCAGGCCTGCAAACACTGAATCTGTACACCAAAGTGAGGATTAACTCTGAACAAAAATGAACAAAATTCATTTGGGTTTGGACTGTTGGTCCAACAAAACAAGTAAAGTGATGATGTCTCTCAGGGGACTTTTTCACAATTTTTTTAGATGAATTTTGTAGATGAAATTAAAGCATTAGTTACAGTCCTAATTATAATGTTTTCACCTTCAGGGCTTCACGCAGAAACAATGACTAAAATGCTGATAAATTACACAACAGATATGACATTATACAAACTGCTTTATATCCACCATAAAAGTAAAACATAATACGTTTTGACCAAATGACTAGTCCGAACATTTTAAAGGCCTGTGTGGACTATTACACACACACACTTAAAACTGCATCACTTCTCGCTAAGGTCAGGTAGTAAAACAGCCGTTAGCTACACCACAGATCTCAGTGTCTGCTTCTGAGTGAGCATCAAGAAGCTCTGTTAATCACAACTGATATATGAGGCTAACTTGTTCAATAACTGGCAAACATAATTCATGTTTAGAGTTAAGTATCTTGCACCACCTTTTCAGTTCTTGCCTTTAAGACCCCATGAAAATAAACGACTGTACGAGACTGGACATGCTGAGCACAGAGAGAGAAGCGATAAAGCTCTTTTGAAGAGCAAACCAGGCTCAAAGGTTGCAAGGGACCAGCAGGCAGCATGGAGATCAAAATCATAAATGAGCTGTCACATGGATGACATCTGAGATCCATTGTGTATTTAAGACAAATAAATGCACACTGCAGCCTCAACTTTGACAAAAGATAAAACTCTTTTCATAGATTTAGGAAATCCCACCAAATGATTTTTCTCTGATTAAGTTATCCCATGATATCCCTGATATTGATGAGTACAAAAAATCCATAAATCATCACAGCGACGCAGTAAAGATGGCAGTTCACGCATCCTTTAGCTTACATATGTATGTAGGCTAATCAGTAATGTAGCAGTAAATAAAGAATAAACAGTAAACTCAGGCCAATAACTGCCAACATACAGAAAATAAATTGTGCTTTCAGTTATGCATGAATGTATCCTTTATACTCCATATTAAAAAAAATAAAATTAAAAATAAATAATCATCTGCCATGCTGAGATGTCCAGTGTGCTGCATCTCAGTCAACAACGGTGTGACAACAATGTCAGAAGAAAAATAGGTGGTTTAACTCAACACATGTACCACTAGAAAGTTCCAGAGGGATCTACTCCCGAACACTGTCTGAAGAGAGCATGATTATTTGCACACTGAAAATGTCCATCAATGGCAAATACGTTGGATTCCCTGGCAAAGCTTAAATCGACGTTGTAGTCTACGCCATAGACATAACTCTTGATGCTCTTATCCACTGCAACTTCATGAAAAATAGATAAGAAACAAAATCAGTATCCAAGATCAAACGCACAGGAACCATGTGAACTGAGAACAAAGGCAATCTTTCATCTACTTGTCATCTATACACACCATACCTACATTTATGACCTGGTCATGGCGCAGTCATGTTAACATAAATTTTTCCTGCAATCAAATAAACAGTCCCTGCTCTCACCTGCATGATCCCACCATTACATAACTTGAAAAAAATGAAAGCAGAGATGCCTCTCACTGTTGCTGACAGATTACCCAACCAAGTTTTCAAGTCTCAGCAAGCCTGTGGTCAAAGCGTGCTGTGTCAGCACTCTTAAATACCACCTGTAAAGTGCCATGCCCCTGGTGTTCTACGTGTATAATCTGCATTGCACTTGGACTTACTAAATATTTCTACACAGAACAGAAGGAATTGTATAAAGATGACTAAATGATGTTCATTTTAATAACATACCGCCATGCATAAATTACAACAGGATACAAGATATCCTTGCATGGCACTTTTAATCACTATAAGGGTGCACAATTATCTCTTTTATTTCAGTCAGTATTTGGATGGTTGGGTAATTATTCTTCCATGTTTTCTAACAAAATACTTTTTCTGAACATTAAAATAAAAGAAAAGGTGCCTTCATTACATAAAAAAAATAACTACAGTATAAATAAAACTTCATTAAAATGCCCAACTCTATAAATCACCAATTCATTAATGACAGTGAGATTAGGCGGAGAATCTAAATGCAAAATGTCACTGCCACAACCTATTCAAAGTCTAATTATTTGCAGAAGCCAAATTCATGACTGCAATTAGACCATTATATGATTGCCAGCAGACTTACTTAATATACAAAAATATATACATTTCATTACATCGCTGTGTGCTTATATTGTTACCTTGGTGATATTGTGTATTATATATAGTGCATGTTCTCTCCAATTACTACAATAAAATAATTTTAGATTTCTTTCTTTCCTCAAAATACAGGAGGTGGTCATCTCAGAGCTCAGTTAGATCCTTAATCTTTAAAGAAAGAATACCATCACCAAAGTCAGTTGCTTTTTATCTGAATATACAAGGAGCATGGGAAATAGTATGGACAAGACCCACTTCCTATCTGAGTCAGTCAAAATAACATATATTGTGTCTTTATACACCAATGACTGACTATACACCAGTGTCTTTATACACCAATGACGTATCACTTATTAACTTATTTCCAAAGGATGAACATTATCTCTGGGAGGTACTTGCATCCACTCTGAGTCCTCTGAAACAAGAGCGATGGCAGTGGGAGGCAGTGAACTGTGAATGCTTTCTCGTAAATCCATTTAATTTGGGGCACTTGTGTGATTTGATGACCATATGAGGTTAGCCTGCATGCCAAAACGGAACTTATAGTTGAGGTAAATTTAATGCAGCCTTCTCTTTGCCTGGCTGCAGTGTAATTCTTACTCTCTTCCATTTATTTGTTTTGAGGAGGGGGGAAAAAAAAACATCCTGCAATGCTTAGCACAATGTGAGCCTACAGTATGCCTGGAAGTAAATAATTGATATGCTTTGTGCAAGCGTGCCCTGAGCTTTGTTTGAAATCAGTGGAGCCATTTCCATGAAGGTAAAGCAGCAGTGCCCACTGTCCAAAGAACAACAGTGCCTTGTTTAGTTTGCTGTGCTTTACAGGACTGTTTCATTGACTTGTCATGAAAAAACATGATTAGTGTGCCTCCATTTTAATGGATAAAACGTTGTAATGGATTAAGCCTGGTGGATAATCCACTATGTGACAACCGTCGACATCTGCCGCCCTGTCATTCTCACCATTAGAAGCTCGAACTCAGCATAAAAAGGGGTTATATTCTTATGAAGAGCAGCTTTATGCGGCATAACTTAGCAATAATTCATGAAAGAACTGAATTAACGTAAATATAGGCTATAATAGGTGGTTGAAACTGTGCTGAAATTCACCACAAAGCAATAGTTTAACCAGTTATATAATTGTGTAACCTATTTGAACGGGTTTCCAGTTTGTAACAGCGTGCGCTTGCTTTGGGGAGGTGCGTGGCCACTAGCCTACAATTTCACTAAATCTTCATCTTACCATTGCGTTAAATATCCCAATGATAACACTTCATGACTAAACACAGAGCACACAGCCTATGAAACCCCCCGACAACATGCACTTTATCTCATTTTAGTCTGGTATAAAAAAACGTGTGATCCTTTTCCGCAGCCCGCCAACTCACAAATACCACTTAAAGCATCACCCAAATCGTGTAAAAGCCAAAAGCGTGAAAAATCGACACGTCGTAGTTTTCACTCTCACCCAGCTTTTATCTGTAACCTATCCGCTTCTTGAAAGCAACTCACATTAAGCTACTAACGTTACACACGAATGAAGCTTTGATGTTTCCATGTATGATGCTACAGAAATCCAGTTCCGATATTACGAAAACACAGTCTGGAACGCAATTGGAAACTCGGGCATATTAATCTTCTCTTGTTTACCAGCAAGACTGCATGCGTGTTAGGAGGTAAACTAAGACATAGTCTGGAACACTCGAAGGTGCTTTTCATTTCGGCATACACCCAAAACACTGAGCAGCACTTGTATCATTATAATGTCAACTTTTATAACTGGTTCGCCCGTCGTTCTAAGAGTATCCCCTTCGACATCCAGCGGCGTGGCCGATAGTGAACGAATTCTAAAACACTTAGATTAAATGGAAAATAACTGCTGATTCGTGAGCTTTCTTTACGCCGAATTTATCTAAAAGGCACACTATTACTGACAAGTCTTGAATTACGTTGTAATACGTATGCTTTTTTGAGTCATTGACGTCCACTTAAAATAATCGAGTTTTGAATAGAGTTTGCCGTAGCGTTTCCTCAAACCGCACGTTGTCAGGGCTGCTGCATATTCTACATGAACGCACCGCTGTTTTCTGTGATTTACAGCAGTCCAGGCTCCGCTCTGAACAACATGCCACAAAAAGTAACCAAGCTAGCTGAGTGACCAAACAAACATTTGAGCAGGTCAAATGCATGTAGATCTAACGTTATATCCCTCCAGAGCAACAGAAGACCACGCTATTTGTTTTTGTTTTTCACAACAGAATTGGCCACATTTAAGAGTTGGCAGTTGTGATTTATAATGGTGAGCTGACCAAAGTGATATATTCCGATGCAGTGTATTTTGTAACGCCTCTTTGTGCACATAGCAGACACAAATCTATTCTTATTTCAACTTTACGGACAGTTAGGTTTTCTCTCAACATCATACATCCAAATGCTCCGTTTCAAAAATTGCCCCGCTGATAAAATAACGTTACACTTCTCCATCTACAGCCATGGAAATCTGAGCTGAAAGTATAGGCTATATTCCCTTTAGACAGCTTAGGAAAACTCCTACCTTTATGAAGAGCCGCTTGAAGCATGAATAAAAAGAGAATAGTCGCGAGAGAGCTGCTGCCAGTGTTCGCCATGTTGGACACCTGCTTCAGTATGGCAGAGCGAGGCAGCTTCACCTAACGTTACAGCTACAACGGGACTCACTTAATGAGATGCGAGAAAGGGAGGGTACTGTTTACCATATTCATTTAATCTGCAGTTTTTATAAATCATGTTACTTAGAATAAATGAGTTTTATACTCATTGAATTTACTTCGAATTAAAAACAAAACAGAGCCAGGCTCTCAATGATTTTAACAGTGTTGTGCTGCAGGAGTGGTAGGGACGTGTGTCCGTGTGTGGTTTAATTGGATGGGCGTGTCCTCCTGATAGAAAAACAATATTGATCCTTTCATGCTCTGGCCTCCCTTGAACAGAAAACATTTTGATTAAACTTACAAATGTTTTTGTATTTTGGGCATTTCAGACACAGCACTGATTAATTCATCCACATGTAGTAGCTCGCTAGGCAATATGGCAGGCAAGCAGGGCAGGCCATAGGAGGCCCCCAAGGTTTCCGGTGATTCTTCACCTGCACTTCCCTGATTCAGGAGATAATCAAGCAGTGGGCTGGTTTGACAGAGCAGAAAGACAGCAGGATCATGCCTCCTTCTGGACCAGTAGACCAGGTCAGTTGGGTGGGGGAGGGAGTTGGTCTGGTGTAGGTCTTGTTCACTCTTGAAAGAAAACTTCTTCCTTTGTTGTATGTCCCACAGTTGCACTGGCCTACCAAACAGTACATTGATGACACATTTATCCTGGCATTGCCTTTTTTAATTACATATTTCCAAAACAATGTGGTTGGTAAAACACAGGGCAGAGCCTTGCACCAAAAAGTTACAGGTTCTTAAAAGTTAACGTTAGCCTATGGGTCATTATTTCCCATGTCTTTAGTCTTTTGTTTTTTTTTCCTTGCACAATGTTGCATAATTAAACATAATGGAGTTCCCAAAGTACAAGGTGGATTTATTCATCATTTTACAACACAGTTTTGTATAATGAAGTTAGACTGTAGTTCCCTATATGCTACTCACAAAAAGCAAATGTTATATACAAAATTACACAAACTAGAAAGGTGGGTAAATAGCAAGTCTTATAAACAAAACAATTTTACATGGTGGATTGCTGAGAATGAATTGATGAGTCTCACAGCCTTAGGGAAGGAGTTGCTCTGAAGTCTGGTGATAGGACAGAGGATATTTTGGTATCTCTTGCCAGAAGGCAGCAGGGTGAAGAGGCTGTGTCTGGAGTGGGTACTGTCTTTTAGTATTCTTAGGCTCTGCACAGGCACCTTATCTCACCAATATCAATGATGCACGATAGATGGGTACCAATGATGTTCTGAGAGGTTTTAATCACCTGCTGCAGAGCTCTCTGGTCCTGGGCCGTGCACATCCCATGCCAGTTTGTGTTTCCAGTTAGGATGCTTTTTATTGCACCTTTGTTAAATTAATAAGAACATGGCACAGGAATTTTGCCTTCTTAAGTTTCTTTAAGAAATACAGCTGTTTCTGACCTTTCTTTAGGCTGAGATGTGAGATGACCATGTCAGGTTCTCTGTGATTCTCATTTCTAAGAACCAAAAACTGTTCACCTGCTCCACCTCAGCTCCACTGATGATAACTGAAGTGTGTGTCTTCACCTCCTTTTTCCTTTGTTGTTGTGCACTGGAGGAGGTGTGACTGCCAATCCAAACTTACTGGAGTCTGTTTGTGAGGAAGTCCAATATCCCAGAGCCCAGAGTGCTACGTTTTGCAATCAGTTTCATGGGGGAGATTGTGTTGAACGTTGTACTGAAATCCACCAACAGCATTCTGATGTATGTGTTGTTTTTCTCAAGATGTGTGAAAACTGAGTGGAGGGCAGTGGAGATAGTATCTAGAGATCTGCGCTGGACTGTTTTCTTGATCCCGCTCCCGCCAGCTCCCGTTGATTTTGTGACCATTACCGCCCGCTCCCGCAACATGTGTATCCACTCCCGTCTGCACCTGCAAGCATTGTGACATGCAGAATAAAAAAGGGACACAAATGTTTGGGCTATGCGTTCAGAAAAACTGACATAAATCATTGCATTCATTTTTGTCAGTAAGAACTGAGAAGTTTTCCAAATTTCAGACTTGCCTTGCTTTGGTCTTGTATTGTATAAGCCTGTGTGACGGAAGCCAGGGAGGCTGTGTAGTGAGTAAACCTCACTCCCAGACACCTTAAGACACGCACTAGTAAGTGACAACACGGGCTTTGGCCTCCTGGTCAGGTCCTGTACCTGCGGTTGCCGGTTCAAGTCAGGTCCTTGCAGTGCATTCTCGGGAGCAGCCACTTACACTCTCTTCTTTTCAACTTCGTTTGTTGATTCCATCTTATCAGCCCTACTGCGGAACCCGCAGTATATTTTTTAACCGCCCGCTGCAGCCCGCAGCAGAGTTAAAACCGCCCACTCCAGTGCAATTTGTGGTCCCATGTGAGCCCAGTGCAACTCTCTAATAGCATACTCTGTGGATCTGTTGGTCAGAAAAGCAAACTGGTGAGAGTGCAGCTGACTGGAATGTTGTTCTTTATGTGCAGGAGAACCAGTTTCTCAAAGCACTTTATCAGGATGGGGATGAGTGCCACAGGGCGGTAACTGTTCAGACTAGACAATGCACACTTTTTACATACAGGGACAATGCTGAAGCACGTGGGGAAACTCTCTTGTGACAGTGATAAGTTAAAAAGGTCAGTAACAACATCAACTAGCTGATTGGCACATGTTTTTAGTGCACGGCCAGGTGATTTACTCTAATTCACTCTAAGCAGGATTCTTCTCACATCTGCTGTGGATACCGGCAGTGGCCATTCTTCTGGAGGTGGAGTAGACTTTACAGCTGACTCTTTGTTGAAGAAACAAAGCTAGCATCAAAGGTGTTAAGCTCATCTGGTAATGTGGCCTCAAAGATGATGGCTCCTGCTTTTGTAGCCTGTGATTTTTTTGTTGCCTGCCACATATCTTTGGTGTTGTTAGTGTTGCAGCCTCTCATCAACCCATTTGCTGATGTATGATGTCACTGATGATGTATATTCCTCAAGATTCACGTGGTTCTCCTGGTCTCTTGCTGTAGCCTCATCTGTCCACACTTTCACTGTTGGTTGGTTATCCGTTGGTTTGACCCTCTTCAGCTGGGTATAAGTAGGCAAGGGAAGCATAGAAATATATTTTGAGTCTGGGGAGGGCTTTGTAGCTGTCAGAAATGTTTGTGTAAACATGGTCCAGGGTATTACCTCCTCTGGTGAGGATGTGGTGATGATGATGACTTAGACATCCCCTTACCTGGATGAGAAAAATAATACTGGTTGAAAATAGTGCTGACAGAGGTTTTCAAGCTGATATAAGGTGATTTGAAGTATTCAGATTGCTTTAAGATACAGTTGTTCAGTAGACCATTTTCAAATTGCTCAACATAGTACAACACACACTCCTCTCCCTTGCTGTACCTAGAGATTCTGTCCATGGAAGTCACAAACAGAATTGGTGACAAGGCATAACCCTAGCACAGCCAAACCCAAACCCCATACTACTGCAATACCTCAAACAAGATACAAAAGGGGAAATGGTCAGTAGCTTTCTCCAGATTTCATGTCCCTTACTGGGGGCACTACCCTGGATACAGGAAAATTTCCTCCTGAGGTGGGAGTTAGATAGACTTTGTGCACAGGGTCCTCAGGCAGATATTCCCAATTCATCCTCACTATTTGGTTTTACCAGGTCAGTGTGGAAGCTTCCCCCCACCACCTGATTCACCTGATCAGTTGAGAACTCTACTCCTTTCAGGACATTCGCCTGCAGATCTGATCACTACAAAGTCAATCATTTTCCTGTGGCCTAAGGTTCTGATACCAGGTGCAACTTCTTAACCGGTTACGGTGTTACGGTTACAAAGCATGACAAGCACAGAAGTCCAATAACAAACCACCACTCGGGTTCAGATCAGGCTGGCCTTTCCTCCCAAACCCACCATTAAGTCATGCCTGGGAGCCAGCATGCACAACACAAGGGACCTTGGAACTAGCAAGATTGCACCTGTGTGTTTTTTGCTATGACACGTCAAAATGTCTGCTGTGATAAAGGTTTAAAAGTGACTATCACTTGCATAGAGTGAACCATGTCATTTTCTGCAGAAAACTCAGAAAACAGCAGTGCTCAGGACTATGGGAAACTACAGAAAAGAAGAGCATCCAGACACTATTTGAGTTCCAGGACTATCTATCCTTCACCAGACAGGTAATTGTCCACGTCTCTTAAACAGGTTTTCGTAACCTGGGGGCAGCACGCTAATGCCCCTATGTAAATCTGCTTCCCAGTTGGAGATGCACCCAACTCTTACATCCTTGCAGGTGGTGGGTCCATAAGGTGTGGCCCCATGTCATTCCTTCAAGCTTTTTGCTTTATGAGCTCATCTCCCAGGTCCATCGAGGTGGCTTATTTCCAAAGTCCAAATGGGTTCTGGAATCACTCCTAGTCTGACCCTTTGCATTGGACTAATTTGCCTTGAATGACCCTACCAGGAGAAACTGCCACCAACAATTCAGTTCCCAGAGTCCTGGGGGTACACAACTCTCTCCACCACATCAAGTTGGCAATTCATGAAGGGATAACCAACCTCTTCTCTGGTTATTAATTCGCTCTTGCTCCCCACCCACATAAATTATGATAATGACCAGACCTTGAATGACCACCATTCAAGGCCTGAGTTTAGCAATTTTTCAGAGCTTGAAAAAACAAAAACAGATCAGAACCTTCAGATGCTGTTGTGTTACATTTTGAACAGTTTGACTGCAATTTCTAAATGAGTGAGTTAAAAGATGTTCTATTTTAGATAATAACAATAATACTGACAGCCAATCACCTCCCACCATCCAAAGACATGCTGGCTAGGTTGATTGGTTACCCTAAGTTGTCCTTAGGTGTGAGCGTGAGTGGTTGTTCGTCTATGTGTGGCCCTGCAATGGACTGGCCCCCGTACCTGTACCCCGCCTTGTGCCCGATGTCAGCTGGGATTGGCTCCAGCGACCCTGTACGCAGGATAAGCGGTTGACGATGGATGGATGAAAACAAATGAATATAGCTTATTTGCTACAGTCTTTGACCAGCTATGCTGACA